GGGAGTGGAGAAGCCCCTCAGCTGAACCTGGGAGCCAGAAGAGTGGGTGGAGACCCACTTGCACCTCTTTTTACCCCTGCAGTGACCCCGGAAGGTTCACACCATCCTTTAAATATTGAGCGTGTTCTCTGGAATCGCGGGCCGTTCCGGGTGCTGGAGGTACAGTGGTGAGCAAGGCAGACAAAGCCCCCTCCCCTCAAGGGGCTTATACTCTGGAGGGGAGACATGCTAGTAGACCCAACGAGTAAGATGCAGGGTGCTGGACAGAGAAACGTGCTAAGGAGCAAAACAAAGGCCACTAAGGGAGAATGAACGGTAGGCATGGGAGCTGAGTAACAGGACGACTGAGGGGAAAATGTGTGTGTGTGTGTACGTGTGTGTGCTCAGTTTCAGCCGAGCTCTATTTGAAATGCCTATTAAACCTCTAAAAGTGGTGTTGGAAGTTCAGAGGAGAAATCTAGGCTGGACACAGGCATTTGGGCATCTTAATTACATAAATGACTGTAAGGCTCTGAATGGGATTTCCTAGGCAGGTCCAGGCACCCGCACCTTTTCACAGTGGAGGGGATGGTATGTAGACAGGCTCTATCATTTGTCCCAAATCACAAAGCTGGTACACTGTGGAGCGGGGGTTCACACCCAGGTCAGGCTCACCACAAGCCCGTTCAGTGTCAGAAAGGCCTGCTGCTGTTGACTGTGGGGCCTTGCGCAGGTCACCTGACCTTTCAGAGGCTTGGTTTCCTCATCTGTCAAAGAGGCATAGGCAGTAAAGGGGCAGGGAGAAAGTGAGGAACAGGGAGGGAGCCTGGTGGGACCCGGACAGGTGGCCAGGAAGCCAGCGGCTGTCCAGCCAGGTCATGGGACTGGTGCTGGGTGTGCCCCTGCCCTTCTCCTACCTGTCCTGGACCCCCACCCTGTTAGAATATCCCTTCCTCTGGGCAGGGGTGAGGGACCCAGTGAGATGTGTGCCAAGTCCAGAAGCCAACATATCACTTTACAACAAGTAGCCACCCTCCATCCAGCCTGGAATTCTGGGGTTGGCATGACCTGTGGGCACAGGATCCCAGCAAGTGAATCCCTGCCAGACAGTTGCTGGGCGAACCTGGCCTTTGAAGGGGGGGCAGGGGGACTGAGAGTGGTGCAGGGTTGGTGGCACCAGGCTGGGGCTCTGGAGGGCCCTGGGCCCTGCTAGGGGGACTGGAGTAGGTTCCATGACCTCAGCCAGCGCCCAGAGAAAGGCATGGCTCCCAGGTCAGCCTGGCACTCCTGGGGCTTCTGGGGCTGACCCCTTATGCAGACTCAGTCTTTCTTCATAGAGCGCTTAATACCTTCGTGCTGTCCAGGCTCGGTGGGTCCCCCTGCCTCTGTGGCTTAGCATCTCCACTTGGGGACATTCAGAGGCACCACAGTGTAAACGCCAATGGCTCCTGTCCTGTGGGGGCAGGGCAGGTATCTGGCCACACTACTTCCTGTCCCCCATCCGCCCCTCTCCTGCCAGCTGGCAGGAGGGGAGGCCTCCAGCTGGCCACACTCACTCTGGGAAAGTCAAATTTCCAGTCTCCCCCAGAAGCGCCACCCGGGCTGCCCAGCCTAGCCCCAGCCTCCCTTCGGCACAGCCACAGCAAGGTTCGGAGCGCCCGCTCAGCTCTGCCAGGCCCCGCCCACCCCGAGCCTCCCTGCTGAGGCTGAAAGAGCAGCCAGCAACGTGGGGGCTGGGAGAGGCGGAGACCCCGACCTGGGGAGCCCAAAAGGGAGGAAGCTGTGCTTGGGTTTGCTCCTCTGTCTCCACTGCCAGGCTGCGGGCCTGGCCTGCTCCTTTGCAAGTCATTGTGCAGTGAATAAATGGAGGGGGCCAGCATCCTGGGAGTCTGGGGGATTTACAGGGCTGGGGGTTTGGGTGTCAGCCCAGGGACCTGTGTTGGGGGGACTCTGGAAAGCTTGGACTGGGAAAGACACTTGTGTTCGAGGCTGTGGAGGGCTGCCCAGGTGTGGCTGGACTTGGGGCCTGGGCATCAAGACCCTGAATGGTCCAGGCAGGGCTGTGGCTGCCCATTGGAGGTAGATGGTTTCCCTCATGTGAGTGCCTCCTGTGGGCATCCAGTGGGGGTAAGGGGGTGACAAAGCCAGTCTCAGTGTTTCTGGGATGCAATTAGAGTATTTGGAACCAAGCACTATGAACATCTTGGAAAGAAGGTTCAGTGACAAATCAGAAACTAATAAAAGCAAAACAATTATTTGTCAGTTGTGTCTGCAAAGAGGAACATGGCAAAGTGAATTCTGTGGCTTTTTAGCGGAAGGGCAGGAAGTGTGAGCAATGTGCCTGGGTGGGCTCCCACTGGCCTCCCACCCCCCACCCCATGTCAGCCTCCCTCAGTGGGAGGAGCTGGGGTTTTGAAGACCTCCACCCGCCTCTGCCTCTGCCTGTTAGACACCATGTGCTCAGCAAATCGCCGTGCCCCAGTTTCCCATCTGTAGAAGGAATAAAAAGCATTATGCCTGCCACCCAGTCAAGGTGTTTGGTGTTACCTGGACCACAGTCCTGGTGGCCATCCACTCTCCTCTGAACTGTCCTTTATAGCGTGTCTATTCTGTGCCAGGCCCTGGGGATGCAGGGGAAACCAAGGCAGACATGAGTCCCTTCCTGGAATCTACCTGCCTGCCAGACCTGCTCACCTCCTCAGCAAAACTGGGCTTCCTCAGTTCCAGAAGCCACAGCACCCCCCAACAACCCCCGACCTTTACACTTGCGGGTCCCACATTTCCTAACCAGTCTCTTTTCCGAACACATTCCGAGCCACCTTTCAGTTCTCTGCTTCCCTAAGGACGCCTTCGGTGCATCTGCCAACCTGTGGCAACCTGTTTCTGCCTGATGTCTACGACGTTTTTCACCAGAGTACTGGATAAGGGCTCTGGCTCAAGCCCTATCAGAGGTCATGTTAAGCTCTCTGTGCCTCAGTTTCCCTAAGTGTAAACTAGGAACCACAGTAGTCCCCACCTCCTGGGGGCTGTTGTAAGGAGTAAATGATAGGGCCCTGAGATCCTTGCCCGGTATGCGGCAAAGGCTGTATACCTGTTACTCTCGCTATTGCTGTTTTGTAGTCATTATCATCAGCCCGCACGGCCTGCAGGGCGGGGCTGAGCACTCTCCTTGGAGCAGCCCCTGGCGCACGTAAGCCCCTCGGCATCTTCCCGACTTGCCTAGGCTTCCGGAAGGGCTACACCTTTGGTGCTGGCATTGCCCAACTAGGGAGGGAGGCGTGAATACCCGTTTCACGGAAAACCGGCGCACAGTAGGTGCTCGAGAAATGGCCGATTGACACTGGGAAGCCAGTGGCCCGATCAGTGCGCCCGCACTCCGTCCTTTCGCCCGCACCGAGCGGTGGAATGCTCCGGCTGCCCACATGGTCATTAAGGGTGTATCTGTTTCCAACGACACCCATTCCCACAACAAAGGATCTCGCCTCCGTGGGACCACCTCCCATCGGCGCAGCGGGCGAGAGCCTGCCTGTTCCTCAGGGGTGGCCCTGTCCCGACGCGGGCCCCGTGAGCGCAGCTGCGCAAAGGGACCCCAGCGGGTGTAGGGAGCCCAGCTCGCGGACACCGCGGGGACCAAACACGAGGGACAAGCAAACGCCAGGGCGGCACCGAAGGGCGCGCGGCGACACCGCCTCCAGCCGCGATTTAAAGGGCAGCGAGCGGCGGAGGGATCCCTGCCGACCGTTCAGCGCGGATCCCTCCGCAACGAGAGACGCGAGGAAACGACTCGGTTCGTCCGCTCAAAATCGTTTTTTGTCCCTCCGCCGTCGGGAGCACCCGGCAGGTACTCATTTCTTTCTCGTGTTTCTCCGCCCCCCCCCCCCCCCACCGAGTCCCGTACAAGCAACAGAAGCGGCTGCGACGCCGCAAGCCGACGTGGTGTCCCTCCGCCCGACCGAGAGCACTCCTTTTCGTGTCCTTCCACCGATCCCGGGCGGCGTCCGGGCGGCTCACCGGGGGCGGCGACGCGTCTGCGGCGCAGACGGTGAAGCTCCGGGGCTATGAGGTGAGGGCGCCCGGGCACCGGAGGCGGCACGCGTGGCGTCAGGACGTGGGACGCAGAGCCCCCGGCCCGCGGCTGCCTCTGGGACCCCGCGGCCGCGCGAGCGGCGAGGTGAGGCCCCGGGCGAGGGGGCGCGGGGCGGGCTGAGGGCTCCGGCCGCGGCTGGGACTCATTTCCCGACAGCGGATGGAGCGGGTGGTGCTGCGGCAAGGCCGCCATCTTGGATTTTTACTCTCCATTTTTCTCTGGAATTATTTTTTGGTGATTAATTTTCTTGGGGGCCGGAGAGGTGTCGCCCGGCGGCGAGGGCCCCCCAGCGCGGCGGCCGGACAGCGGGGCCTCGACGCGCCCCGGGAGGAGCGAGCGTCGCCGGCGGTGAGCGGGGCCGGCGCGCGGGCGTGCGGGGGGCGCCGGGCTGGGGGCGGGCCGGCGGCCGGGGCCGGGGCCGGGCGGCGGCCGGGGGAGGGGCGCGGCGGCGGCGGCGGCGGCGGCGGGGGGCGCGGGCCTGCAGTGGGCGCCGCCGCCGGAAGGGAGCGGTAGCGGCCGTCGGGCAGCGCCGGGGCGGCCCGCGGCCGCACGAGGGGAGCAGCCCCGCCGCTCGCGATTGGGGGACGCTGTTTTCTCTCTTCTCCAATGGGCAGCCGTGAACGGTCTCGCCCAATCTGCTACCTCGGCCGCGCTCAACTTTGGGTTGTTTTTGTTTGGGCTCGAGCTCCTCGGCGAGCCCCTGCGGGCCGGCCTCCGCCGCCTCGTCCTCCCTGGACAGGGACGCCGGCCGCGGCCGCCTCCCTGTCCCGACGCCCTGCGCGTCGGCCTGGCCCCTTCGCGCTGCCCACCGTCGCCCCGGGCGACTCGATGGGCCGCGCACACATCCGAAGATGATGTGTGTCGGCGTCGCTCCCACTTCTGCGAGGGAGGGAAGCACGTTTTCAAGATGACAGCTGGACCCAGCTTGCTGTGATAGTAAAGTGTAGAAGTTGGACTCCGAGAAATTCACGCTCTCCATTCGGGTTGAGTTGGCCCCGTTCTGGAGCGATTCCTTCCGATCCATCCAGTGGGGAAAGTTTAGGAATACTCGGGAGGTGGACCTGTGTTCTCTGAAGTTAATATTTAAGAACTTGCCAAGTGAAATTCCCTCGGGGAGAGGGGACTCTTACCTAGAATAGAGGGCAGGTGAACTGATTGTGATCGTGATTCTTCCATCAGGACCTTTTTAGATTTAAACTATTTTGATTTAAAGTATAGTTGAACATGATCCCGTAGGTGTAAAGACTGCTGTGTAGAGTTAGAGGAAGCAGTGACCAGACGAAACTTTTCCCCATTATTTAATATTGAGAACACGCCTGTAACTTTTGATGATTAGCAGTAAAAGCATAAATATTTTGAAAAGCGAACGTGAAATCATTTTTGAAACAGTCACAGATAATTTGTCCATCTTGAAAAGCGCACCTGAAGAGTTACTTGCTATGGATACGTTCACTTTGTACTAGGTAAATGCGGGCAGAGTGCGGCGTAGCTTTATCTTAGATATGGCTCTGAGCAGTAGAAGGAAGGTCTATATATAAGATGTAGCTTCGTTTTTCAGCCAGCTTTTTAGTTGTTTTTATTTTAGTGCAAAAGCTTATTTTACTGATATGTCTTGGTGTAGGAAATGACTTTCATCACTCTAAGAAGCACAAACTTGAATTATTACAACATAAACTTAAAACTAGCCAATGCACTTCAAATTGCAAGCATTAAAACACAGTGATTTGAAAGGCAATTTCTTAATTGGATAGACTGCCAACTTTGAAATCTTAAAATAGATACTTTCTGTTTGAAGTTGGAAATGTGAATTAAACCCTGCAGTTTTAATGGCTAAGAAGTAGGGAGTGAGTGTGCTAGTGCTTTGTCGGAAGGATTTTTAATAGGGGAAGTTTAACAGCTTTCTTTAAATTCTTTCTGCCAACTCTGCACCCCTCCCCCCCAAAAAAACCCTCTACAAATCTGGTTTAACTTTAGTTCTTACTATAAACCCCTTTTCATTCTCATAATTCGGACCATTGGAGTAGGTATCAACGCCTGTGTTTCAGTCTGCTCCTTCATATCCACATCGGACATTGACAGGACCAAGCGTCAGTTTCTTTGTCTGTAAAGTAAACTTCAGTCTCTGAGATCACTTCCAATCCTAAATTATACTTCATCTTTTACACTTAACGGCCACCCTGTTCTCTCACTTCTAAGAGCTATTTTAATCATATTTTGACATCTCTCTGTATAGTTAAGCTGTGTAGTCTGTGTAGTTTTTCCTCCTTTTTTTGGAATGTTATTAAATTGATACTGTAGCTTACAATCAGTTGGATTTTAGAATTGAGAAACTAGAGTAGATCAGCGGCCCCCAGACTGCTTGCTGGCTTCCATATCTGAATGGCCAGTTGCATCTCTGCAAGATATCTTGTTTACTGTACTATAATATTGCACTAACGAAAAGCCAGTGGGCACTGTTGAAAGAAGTAAACAGATCTAGGGAGCATTCCCTAGTGGTAACCCTCTTTGTTTAGGTGATGCACATGTGGCCTAAGTATTGGAGTAAACCCCAGATGATAGTATGAACGGTAGGGTTTTCGACTGAAATAATAGCAATCTGACTTCAGGAAAGCATGTTCATTTCTAAGCCTTAGTCCTTTCATTTGTAGAGGTAATACTTGTCTCACCTCCCTCATAGGATTGCCAAGCTGGTGAACCCTTAGTTGTGTGTGTCAGGGTGAAATAAACACCCGTATTCTAACTTGGGCATCTTAGTGGATACAAACACCTGGTTAGCCCATTGCTAATAGCACAACGTTTCCCTCAGGTCTTAAGTAGAAAGACCTCTTCAGTAGGAGGGTCATTCTTCTCCTATTCTGCACCCTTCTGCTCAGGTCTTCAGAGACCTGTTTTCACGTGCTTCCTTTTGGGTTGCAAGTTCCTCCCACCGACCTCCCTCACCTAGTAACTCTGCCGGATTTTATTGAAAGCCGAAACTCTCGTGCGCCCTCTAGTGTTCCCTGGACACAACCAGTATTCCAGCACCACGAACAGTGCCCACGGGCTTCCCAGTAGGTTCTTTTTTTTTTAATTTTATATTTTCATTAAGTTATTGATACACGCTCTTATGAAGTTTTCACATGAAAAAACAACGTGGTTACTACATTTACCCATATTATCAAGTCCCCCCACCCATACCCCAATGTAGTCACTGTCCATCAGTGTAGTAAGATGCCACAGATTCACTGTTTGCCTTTGTGCTACACTGTTTTTCCTCTGATCCCCCCGCACCATGTGTACTAAACATAATACCCCTCAATCCCCATCTCCCTCCATCCCTCTGCGCCCTCCCACACCTCTCCCCTTTGGTAACCACTAGTTCCTTCTTGGAGTCTGTGAGTCTGCTGCTGTTTTGTTCCTTCAGTTTTGCTTTGCTGTTATGCTCCACGAATGAGGGAAATCATTTGGCACTTGTCTTTTTCCACCTAGCTATTTTCACTGAGCATAATATCCTCCAGCTCCATCCATGTTGTTGCAAATGGTAGGATTTGTTTCTTTGTTATGGCTGAATAGTATTCCATTGTGTATACATACCACATCTTCTTTATCCATTCATCTACTGATGGACACTTAGGGTGCTTCCATATCTTGACTATTTTAAATAGTGCTGCGATAAACACAGAGGTGCATATGTCTTTTTGAGTCTGACAAGTTGTATTCTTTGGGTAAATTCCAAGAAGTGGAATTTCTGGGTCAAATGGTATTTCTATTTTTAGTTTTTTGAGGAACCCCCATATTGCTTTCCACAATGGTTGAACTAGCTTACATTCCCACCAGCAGTGTAGGAGGGTTCCCCTTTCTCTGCATTCTCACCAGCATTTGTTGTTAGCCTTTTCTATGCTGGCCATCCTTACTGGTGTGAGGTGATACCTCATTGTGGTTTTAATTTGCATTTCCCTGATGATTAGTGATGTGGAGCATCTTTTTATGTGCCTGTTGGCCATCTGAATTTCTTCTTTGGAGAAGTGTCTCTTCATATCTTCTGCCCATCTGTTAATCAGGTTATTTGCTTTTTGGGTGTTGAGGCGTGTGAGTTCTTTATATTTTGGGTGTTAACCCTTGTCACATATGTCATTTACAAATATATTCTCCCATATTGTAGGATGCCTTTTTGTTCTGTTGATAGTGTCCTTTGCTGTGCATAAGCTTTTTAGTTTGATGTAGTCCCATGTGTTCATTTTTGCTTTTGTTTCTCTTGCTCGAGGAGGTGGGTTCAGGAAGAAGTTGCTCATGCTTATATTCAGGAGATGTTTGCCTACGTTGTCTTCTCTAAGAGTTTTATGGTTTCATGACTTACATTCAGATCTTTGATCCATTTCGAGTTTACTTTTGTGTATGGGGTTAAACAATAATCCAGTTTCATTCTCTTGCATGTAGCTGTCCAGTTTTGCCAACACCAATTGTTGAAGAGGCTGTCATTTCCCCACGATATGTCCATAGCACCTTTATCATGTATTAATTGACCATATATGGTCTGGTTTATATCTGAGCTCTGGAGTCTGTTCCATTAGTCTATGGGTCTGTTCTTGTGCCAGTACCAAATTGTCTTGATTACTGTGGCTCTGTAGGAGAGCTTTAAGTTGGGGAGCATAATCTCCCAGCTTTATTCTTCCTTCTCCAGATTGCTTTGGGTATTCGTGGTCTTTTGTGGTCCCATATGAATTTTAGAACGATTTGCTCTAGTTTGTTAAAGAATGCTGTTGGTATTTTGATAGGAATTGCATTGAATCTGTAGATTGCTTTAGGCAGGGACAGTTTAACTTCTCCCTTGCAATCTGGATGCCTTGTATTTCTTTGTGTTGTCTGATTGCCGTGGCCAGGACCTCCAGTACTATGTTGAATAGAAGTGGGGAGGGTGGGCATCCTTGTCTTGTTCCTGATCTTAAAGGAAAAGCTTTCAGCTTCTCGCTGTTCAGTATGATGTTGGCTGTGGGTTTGTCATATATGGCCTTTATTATGCTGAGGTTCTTGCCCTCTATACCCATTTTGTTGAGAGTTTTTATCATGAATGAATATTGAATTTTGTCAAATGCTTTTTCAGCATC